GGGGGGGGGGGGGGGGGGTCGCGTTCTCCCACCCGCCTCGCCGGGAAACGGGGCCGAAACCGCTTCCTTCAGCCCCCGGGGCTGGCTCTTCCTGAGGGAGCGGCCCGCCGGGGAAGGGCTCCCTGAGGGAACGGGCGGTGCTGGGTGGCCGCGGGGGGCTGGGAAGGGGTGTGCGGGGCTGGCCGGGGGGGCTGGAACAGCGTGGGGTTGAGCCGCGGCATCCCCGGCCGCGGGACGAGCGCTGTGGGTGAGGCAGCGCCGGGGGAACGGGGCCCGGCCTCTTTTCCCCATCTGTCCTTTGCCCCTCGGTTGGCGTTATTTACTAAAGGCTAATGGCAAGTGTTATTTAGCCCCTGAAGCAAGGGAAAGCGCAGCTCCTGACGCCCCGGCTTCGGTGGTGCCTTGGCAGGAAGGCTGCAGTGGAAGAAAGCCTTCCGCTGTTTAGGGGGGACTGACTTCGAGCGGCTCCATGTTGTGGTGAGGCCGGGCTGGGCGTTGCACGGTTTGTGATGTGCGACTGGCCCCACCGTCTCCTGCCAGAGGGTCTGTGGAAGTTTGTTGTATGTCTTACGAAGAACGTGTGCGTTTCCAACTGAGCCTTCAGCTGGGGATGCGAAGGAAACTTAAGTTTTGCTTGAAGTTTTGACAGCGTGAATTGGGAACGCAATGAGAGGGTGGTTTATACCTGTTACGTGTAGACTCTGGCCTGTGTGAGACCGGCCGTCTGTGGGAGATGAGACTTCTCAACAGCTCAGAGTCTGAACAGATGGGCCCGTGTAATCTTGTTTTGCAGTTTGTTGGCATTCACTTCTCTCATCTGTCCTACGAGGAGATTCTGTGCTTTCCTGGAAGCTTAAAATGAAAGTCCAAATAATTCTTAGCATGAGATTTCATGTGTCAACAATAGGATTGCAAAGTTGAGAAGAAAATATTATAGATACCATTGCGTGCTCTGTTAGCCAGGCAGCAGTAACAGCTTTGGGAGGTGTGTATTTCCTACAATGGATAACCTCAAAACTTCTTGTGTGGTCAGAGTTGCTTCTGTTGTAGCCCTCAGGGAAGTAACTTTTCACCTGTTAGTTCGTGATAGCCATGTTTTTTCTTGTGCTAAGAGGTATAAATCTTAAAATACACATGTGTGCATAATTTATCTGTGTTTGAGGTGAGCAGATTTTAACCAGTCTTACTTAAAAATGTTGGTCCAAGCAAAGACTTGTACAGAAATAGGTTGTCACTGTGTGCAGCTCCATGCCAATCTCAACACAGATCAAGAGAAAGCTTTTTTTTCTCTCTCTTCTTACCCACAGTCTTAGGATCTGGTAGCTTTCTGAATTACCACTTAAAAACACTTAGTGCATGACTTCATTTTTGGTGCTTTCTGTGCTGCCCAGACAACAACTTTAAAACTTTATGTTTGAGATACAGTTTGCTGCTAAGTTTCTACGATTCTGAGTATCGAAAGGAGAATTTAAAAATCTGAACATTCTCTCGGTAGTGTGGGAAGTGTTGCTTGCTAGTACTGCCTGGTAACTAGCTGAGTTCAGACATGTTCGTGGAACAGGGCCAAGTAGGCCTGCGTGGTGACAGTGACAAGGCAGACTATGGAATATTTGGGATTATGTGGATCCAGTGACTGGATTCTCTGTAAAAGATCATTGTTCTTTTTTCCCTTCAAGTTAAGTATCTTCTGTGCGTTTTCACTCGGCCCTGTCATACTTTCGGGTTATTTTAGAAACCTCCCCAAGAGCAAAGCGATGTCTCATACACACACCTCTTTTTTTCCTTGAAGAACAACAAAAACTTGCTATTTCTCTGTACCTCAACTTTCATTGTCCTTTTTTGGGGGGTCAGTGGTGTTCATAAACTGAACATCACCAGGGAAAGTCATAGAAGCTGAAGAGGAAAGGATTTCTTAGATGATTTAGTGTTAAACATTAGTCATTTCTATGGCATTCCTTCTGTAGGTGCCAAGTTTTATTGAAACTATGCTTTTGCTTTGAGTGATAATGCTGTAACATTGCCTACATTTAAATACTTGTGTTTTAGAGAGAAGAAACAAATATAGTAATTGATTGTGCAAAAATCAATTCCTAGCACGCTTGAAAACAGCAGCTCAGATCCCTCTGCCAGAGGGGATGAATCTCTTATGGGGCTGACCACTGCGAGAGCATCACCACATGGTGTCTTCAGTTGTGCTAATAGGATCCGGAGGTATTATGGATTATATCAGTGTTCAAGGATCAGACCTCACTACTAAACATTATCCTGGCTTTTTCTGTATCAGTTCTCTCCATTGGTTTTGAATGATGAACCTGACAGACAAAGGTATATGACAGTGTTCATAGTAGGCTTTAGAGTGGCTTAGTTGTGCCCCTTGGACACATCTTCACTTTTCTAAGCAAGTTTCACTGAATTTCACTCTTTTTTTTTTTTTTATTTTTCACTGAATTTCACTTTTCTTTTTCACTGAATTTTACTCTTTTTCTACCCAGACTACTTTAGTTCTTCTTTCTTTTCTGTGAGTTTCCTGTATTTTTTCAGTGAATATTTCTATTCTAAAGCATACGTGACCAAATATTTTAGCTCAGTTGCCTTTGGTATCAGAAGTGGCACGTTTAATTTTTGCATGCTGTTGCTTTATCTGCATCTTCTCTCTCCTCCATTCTCAGTCTGTGAAACTACATTTGTATGCCCAACTACATGATCTAATAATAATAATTGTTAACCTGAATGCAATGAGATTTATGTTTTCAAGAAAGAAAATATAATCCACCTGATTCTGTGGAGGGTAGAAAGGAAAACAGAATAGTTCAGCTTGCAGTACTGATTTTGAAGTAAATGTCCAAAGGCAGAGAAATCTTTAAGGAAGATTAAAATCCTGTTGCATCATGGGCTTAAAGAAAAATGTCTTGCAGCTTTCAAAGTTCTCCTGTCCTGTAACTGAGGTTATTGCTCATGTGACCCACAGAACAGGAAGGAGATTAGTTTAACATGGTAGCTTTGGCTCAGTGTAGTATAAATTGAGTTGACTGGGAGTGTGTATGGGTTGAAATTTTTAAGTAGTGCATTCAGCTGTAGGGACTTAACAGCCCAGAAGGAATTGGAGTGAAAGGTAACTGCTAAAATGAGGTACCTTCTGCTTTGTTCCTTTTTTCCAGACCCAGCACATTATTCTGCCTTTCCTCCACCTGTTCTGAAGAGTTTTGAATTGCTCTCATATGAGATTCCATCAGCTTTGCTCCAGAGCATTTGCTAGGGATTTAATGAAAATCAAGTGCATTACCCTTCCCCAATCTAGCCTACTTTTTGCTGTCTCTAGGCTCCTCAAGGAGAAGGGAACTGAAGCAGGATTTTCCCTCT